TAAACAATCTTGACGGTGTGAAATATACGTTGCAGAAGCGTTGTGCAAATTCACCAACAGCACGTGCTCTCAACAGCAACCGGCGCAAGCTATGGCCCCCAGTGAATACCACACGACCGGAATACCACCTCCATTTTCAAGTGCTTTTTTCATTACGAGACGCCAGCGACTCTTTCACAGCATGCATGCGACACTAAGGATACGGTTGGTTTTGGATGAGGCGCGTTTTTATTTGCTGTCTTTTCGTACCGTCGCAGCGGCGCTGGTGACGTCTCGAAAGATGTTTGACAATTGACGCAGCTCCGATTATTTCATAATCGCATTGAACCTGCCTGTTTGCCGCAACAGCGCCGTCGCAACTGCGAAATCGCAACTAAAATCGCTCCATGTGAAACCGTCCTCTTTTCCACAAGTTACCAAAAACGAAATCAGATTTCTTTGCTTACCTTTATGTGTTTTGGGCGAAGCACCTTTCATATATGCGGACATCTCTCATGCACGATGGATGCCCCTGTTGACACTCCAACCTTGAATTGCAGTGCAAGATCCTGCATTGACGTTGCCGATGACAGGTACCTGAATAAAAACAAAACATTGCTGTGTACATCAATGTCTGGAAGCCGAGAAACTAGTAATGAGTTCGCCATATAAACCAGTTTAATTGCACCTCGTATTCACTCCAAACAGTGAAGTTTAAAGAGAATACCATTTTACCTCAAAGTGATAGCAAGCCGCACCCGCGACGAAATGGGCTCTATGACGACATATTGCTTCGTAAGCTTTGTTTCCAGGCGAGTGTGGAGTCTTTCAAAGGCGTTCCGCAATATCCGGTAATATCTTTGAAACTGCTCCGGGTCACTGTGCAGCATAAAAAGGGTCTGCAGAGAAAAAGTATTCCAGAAACCTGCTCGCAGAAAAGCACAAGTCGACTTACCAATGAGTAAAACTCTGATTCTTTGGCTCTGTTTTGCCAGCACGGCCTGACCCGCCATCACCGCGGGCTGCCGTCTAGGAGCAGGAGTTTTTTTTTTCCGCAGAAGTAGGTATTCCTTTTTACAGAGCAGTCTGAACTCGTCGTCATCAGCGGCCATCATGCTCTATTAAAGTCAAGACGCGCTGCTACTTGCCATCTTTCAATATGGAACATCGTCCACGTGACGAAGCCACCGGGACAACTGTTCGCCTTGCGCGACATGCCAAGCAACGCAACAACTAGCTTGCTCAAGCAGTTATGAGCTGTGACTTTCCCGGTGTCCTTGTCGCGTTCGTCCTGCTCGTTGTTTTCGTCGTTTTCGTTGATGCGAATGCAGTCGATGCAAACGTCTGAATCGGCCCTAAATATTAGTATACGGCGTACTTTTTACCAGAAGGTAATAAATAAATCTGAAAATTTTATAATTTTGTTAAATATCGAAATTAGTATCGTCAAACGAATTCAAGGGTTCCAACCATGTGCTTCGCAAGTGCGAAAAATCGCATATGTTCTCAATCAATGTGAAAGGAAACGCGAAATTTCGCATGTGCGGTTCATCGCTTCACCGATTTCGCAGGAGAAAATCGCACCATGTGAATCAGGCTTTAAGCGTGTTTCACATGCAGCGATTTTGGCCCTAGAGCGGCGCGATTTCTGCCGTCGCGGCGCTCGTGCCGCTCAACCCCTGCGACTGGCCAGAGCGCCGGGACTGCAGAAATCGCGCCGCTCTAGGGCCAAAATCGCTGCATGTGAAACACGCTTTATACCCTATTTAGACGGTCAACATAAGGGTATCTTTAAAGGGAAGCTGAAACACTTCTTGAAAAAAACGAGTTAGAGGTGAATTCTGGCGTATTTTTATCCCGTGAATCTGAATATCACATTCGTTTTCCCTGAAGATGCAACTAAAAGCGACAAAACGCGAAAAACCTCCGACCAGTCGTGACGTCATACTAGGATCTTTGGGCCGCCAAGCGTGTGTCGCTCGTGTGGGCAGCGCGTGCAATGGCAAGCTTGTCAAGTATATTTTTCCGCAATGACGGCAGTCGTGACGTCTCTTTCTGACCTTTTTGAAAATAGCAAGAGTGCGCGCGCATAGCTTTGACAGTCACTGAAGATGCGCGAGAGCAGAGATTCCGACAACTCCTAGTGTGACGTCACGCCCTGGGAAGGAGGGGCTTCGGCGGTACTTTAAAAATTAATTTCTGAAGCCTCCGTTTACCAAATTGAAAAATAATCTCGCTATTCCTGATTCTGGAGGTAGAATGAAGGCCATTAAAGTGTTTTTTCTCCAATACAGAACCGCTTCAGTTTCCCTTTAACATAAATCCCTTTGCTAACGGCGAATCAGCCCGTGCCCTTGGGTCGTGAGCACGGTGTAAGATAATACTCTTCAGGTGAGGAGAGCGCGCTCCTCGCGACGTGCCCAATAAAGTTCGCTTTGATTCACTCTTCACTCTCTCTCACTATGATTTGAAGCGGCGCCGGCAGGTGACTCTTCGACCCGTGGGCAAGTACAAGACGGCTCGTGCCGCCTCATGCTCCACACGCGCAGAGCTCCTGCGAGGTTGTTGCACGTGCAGAAAGACCACAGTGCACCGGGGTGTCATGACAACGTGATAACTTTTTTCGCTCTCATACAGTTTCGCCGTTTGGCCGCTGGTTACACTGTCAGCCGCGGGGACGGTGGCAGCGGAATGATGCAGCCTTTCGGATGCGCGTCGAACGAACACTATCCGATTCCTCGCGCCGCGCGTTCAGCCCCGCCGTGTCCTCACCTGAAGAGTGCATCTTACACCGCGGTCGTGAGCACACGCCACGCGCGGAAGATCGATAATAGAACAAAGGTCCCTTAGCTATAAAGGTACCTTTACGGTAGTGTGAATTCGTTATTAGGGAGTTTTAGAATAACGTACGCAATTTTAGCGCACGCTAGCGCTAAATTTAGCGCTTGTATTAGCGCACACGGCGCGAGAAAGTTTTAGAATAGCGTTTCTCCGCCGCGACGCAAAAGCCCAAGCATCTCGCGCTTGCGACGCCACCAAGATACAGTAAAAATTTTTATTTCACACACGAAGTGATGTAACTTCAGAAGAAAACGAGTTTTTTGGTCCAGAGTAGCATTTTAATTTGTTTAAACATGAGAACGCGACGCGAGTGGTTGACCGGTCATGTCCGCTTGCGTCGCCTCGGCAAGAGAGGTCTCGTGTACTGACCTTCGCACATCGTTCCTTCGCCGTGAAATGTTCGCGCGTCGCAAGCATCAAGTTGCCGGTGATCGCTGCCAAACCGAGTACATTGTCGTCCCGTATTGAAAATTGCAGTCGCGAGAATGCCGCCGACGTCGCACTCACGACGCCGCCAAAGCAGCCGCCGACATCATCCTGAAAGCCGCCATTTTTTTTTAACTCTGCTCGTCTTGGCTTAAGCCAACTTCTCATCACGAATCCTCCTTGGAGAAGCGCAACCAAAGACTCTTTGCGTACGCACGCTATTTCCGAGAAATAGCGCACGCTAAAATTGCGCACGCAAAGCGCGAAACGTGGTTTGCGTTCGGAGCGTGCGCAGTGGCGACGACGCTATTCTTTGCGCACGCAAAGCTTTAGCGTGCGCTATTCTAAAACTCCCTATTAAAGGCGAATCATAAGCGTCTACCTGTAAATTTTTATGGTGTATTTTGCGCACGCCACTTTACAGTATTTTCAGAGAGTGTTAAAAGGGCCTTCTTTTCGAATTAGTCTATCTACCTTTCCTAAGAAGGGTTCCTGGCAGGTTCCATTTTCAGTGTTCGAGCACATGGCGCGTGATCTGCTCGCTTTCCGATGCGACGAACATGCGCGTGCTGGGCTGAGGAGATTGCACGCTGGGTTGAGGACTTGAAGCACTTTGAAATGGTGTATTACACCATAGCCTCGTCTATGTTTACAAGCCCAAAGCCTGACAGTTTGACGGCGGAGCCATAGAGAGCCCGGTCGCAGATCTGGAGCGCGAGGATCTGGTAGCACAGAGCATTTCTCGGGAAACCTAAAGCCCCTTGATGTGTTGGCGCTTGTCGTGCAAGTAGCGCCAAATGCGCGAGTGCACGAGGCCCATGTCTCGAGCGGCCCTTGGAAGCAAATGGCGGCGCAGTACTGAAATGAGCCGGCCTTGGAAGCGAATGGCAGCGGAGCACCCGCTCATGGCACGTGTCTCGCGCGCTTCCACAACAATGGTTGGCGGTACTTGTAAAAACGCTTTTATCAAGGGGCTTTAGGGAAACCTGGACGTCAGCGCACAGCATTTGCAGCGGCGGGGACCCGAAACGTGGTTTTCAAACTCGACGAGAAAAGAAGCGGTAGCGCGAGGAACGTGATGAGCACGAGCGGATATTCCATCGCTCGGGAGAAGTGTGTTTCGGCGTCTCGCCGCAGCGGGGCGCCGCATTACATGCCTCTTGTCTGGCGCTCTACCTTTACACTTTCGGCGTCCGCGTCTCGTGGAGATCTGCCAGGTTTTGCCAGTATAGAGGAGGCTATGGTGGTGCACGTTAAAGAACTCAGGCTAGCCGGTTATACTTTACTGGCTAAATTGCTGATCTCCAGCTGAGAGAAAATTCGCACGCTGTAAGGCAGACTAACTTCAAGGCAGCATAAACATACCCAAAACCAATTTGTTTATACTATGTGTGAAACCGACTATAAACATTTGCTTTGCGTGCCAGCGCGAGGTAGCCTTCGCCACGCTAAAAGCGCGAGCGGGGAGTGCTTTAGCACGCGCTTAGTCACAGCGCGCAAAAGGACCGAACGCGTAGACGATGATGCAGAACCATTAGGAGTATCTCTGGTCCAGCCTCGTTCTTTTTGTTTTACGACAGTCGAAGGCTGCCTGCGCAACCCAAGAAGCCATGGAGACCGTTTCTTCGGAGTCCCCAACAAACACGGTCATCGGAATAGCGCCGACGACGTCCGCCCTAGGCAGCGTGACGGCCAGCGGGGGCGCAGCACCTCAGCCTCCGCCTCGCTCAAGGCTGGAGAACCCGACGTCGGTCATGTGCGTCATGACCACCCTCGTAGTAATGTTCGCCCTGGTCGTGCTGCTCCAGACCCGCATGACAGACAACTCCTCCTTCCATGACCTCATGCTGCTCAAGGTGAGCTCGGCTGCAGCGATATCACCAAGAACCGCAAGGCCTGCACCCCCCTTCCTCCCCCCCCCCTCACTAGCTAAAATCCCGAGAGATAACCCACCTAACATCAAGAGAAAGTCGGGTGAAGGTGTGGAGTGGGCTAATTTTCGATGTACAATCAAGAAAAGATTAAAATATTCTTCAACGCTTGTTATGGTGGCGAGGGCCGACGAAGCAAAAATGACTGTGCAGGGTGTCACAAAAGAAAATTTACACGGTCTTTTTTACCGCAAAAATAAACTAGGCATCGCAGAACGCTCATTCTCCGCCCAAAGGTAGAGCTAGAGGTCACAACCATACGCCAAAGTTTCAGCCCGATCCGATAACTTAATAAAAAGTTATAAGGAATTTTCTGAAAATTTCAATGGGAAAATGGAGCCCATTTTTGCCCATTTTCGATTTCTGGTGCCATAGGGCCCCATGTGTTTGAAAACTCCGTCGGCCGCCATTTTCCCATTGTAATTTTCAGAAAATCGCTTATAACTTTTGATTAAGTTATCGGATTGGGCTCAAACTTTGGCATCTGGTTGTGACCTGTAGCTCTACCTTTGGGCGGAGAATGAGCGTTCGGTGATGCCTAGTTTATTTTTGCGTTAAAAAAGACCGTGTAAATTTTCTTTTGTGACATCCTGTACCTCCCATTCAGCAAGGTTCGCCTATATCCCGCCATGATATAACTAGCCGCACTTTCGCCGAGGCCATCATTGATCCCAACCCTATGATTACCGGGAATGGGCTGTTTTTCGGTATTTAAAAATATATCAAATCATACAAAAAATAGGGGTGGGCTGATCATAATGCAATTAACCCGGGACCTCTCTGAGCTAACCAGGGGTTAGACGTTAGTAGAGAAAGCGGGTTTTATCAGCCGCCACCAGTCGTACACCAACAAGGGTGAAGCTTGCAATTTAATGTTATGATTATAATGCAATTAAATGCAAAGGTGCAAGTGAGCTGGACAAGAATGACGAAAATAATCCCTGGAGAGGGGGAACAAGGGGGGACAAAGGACAAACATAAACCTCCAAACACCGCTAGGTGACTGGTGCGCGACCGAAAAAATCCGCCTGGTCCGGATATTGAACCCGGGACCTCTCCATTACAAGTGGAGCGCTCTACCAACTGAGCTAACCAGGGGTTAGACGTTAGTAGAAAAAGCGGGTTTTATCAGCTGCCACCAGTCGTACACCAACAACGGTGAAGCTTGCAATTTAATGTTATGATTATAATGCAATTAAATGCAAAGGTGCAAGCGAGCTGGACAAGAATGACGAAAATAATCCCTGGAGAGGGGGAACAAGGGGGGGGGGGGGGGCGGCATCTATAGGTAATTTACGGTAGTTTGTTCACAAAGCGCCACCTAGCTTGACTCAGCATTGCCGTCAGCATTGCCGCGCGCTGTGATGGATTTATGCGAGTAGTCTACTCAATAGGTGGTATTCACTGGACCCCATATTTGAGGTGACTGCCCACAGCGAATGCTCGGGATGAGTTCTTATTTACGGTATCTCAAAGAAGACAGTCTTGATTGTGCGCAATAATGTTTGTGTTAGAAGTGTTGTGGAAACTTGCCGTCAACACGTCATCAGTAGCAGCGAGTCCAGCTATCGCCGCTAGTCAATACCACCTATTGGCTGCGGTGCGATAATAAGATGCTGGAGACTCGACAAGCCTCGCGTTTTTTGAACTGGCGATGACAGGCGTTGTCACCTTACCTCAGTCCGCCATTTTGTTGTTGGTTGTCTCAGCGGCTGCTTGGACCAAGGCGGTTGATGCAACCTACCATTATATCTGAATTAATTTGCTAAATATCTGTTGATACCGCGATGAAACGTATTGGCCCCAATGTACCACGTATTTGGTGGTGCCAGAGGAATCTTTTAAACGATCGCCTTTCGCATACGTCACGCAGCTCCTAAACACAAAATGGTGGACATACTTACGTCAATGAAAACATCCTATTGGCGGCGAGATGTTCTGGTGGCGCCCTCCTATGGTTACCTCTCATGACGTCATTACCGTGCGAACAACAAATTCGATGGTGTTTGTAATGAGCATGATTGAAGCCTGAAATAATTGCGCTCTGAAAGCAACACTGACATCACCGTTAAAATTGAAGTGCTTACTTTAATCTTATTTCTTTCGATGAAAAATCCTTTGCTGATGTCATAGCCAACGTTCGACCAATCGTGGAAGGCCAACCACAGTGACGCTTTCGATCGCTCACGTCGCCAATAAGAAGTGTCCTCTGGCGGCAATAGCTGTGTGAGCGGCTGCTGAACGCGTGCTGACAGCGAGCTTCTACAGTTCTTTTGCAACAGGCACTCCGTACCCTCAAGTTTGCTGTTCTTAGCAGCGTAATTATGTGAGCTCATTTTGAACATGAGCTCTAAACATCGCCCTCAAATAGGGCGTCCTGTGAATGCCCCTTTTTGGCGGCGACATGGTTGCGCACTTCAATGGTTCCCTCTCCTGTCGTCATCATCTCGCGAACAACAAGTTGGATGGTGTTTGTAATAAGCTTGCTAGAAGCTTGGAATCAATGCACTTTGAAGGCAATACCGTCAAGTCCTTCATAATAGAATTTCTTACATTAATCTAAATTACGTCGATGAGAAATCCTTTGTTGACATCATAGTCGGCATTCGGCCAATTGCGGCAGACCGACCACTGTGACGCTTTTGATTGCCCACATTGCCAGTAGGGAATAATCACTGGCGGCCACAGCAGTGCATGCCTTTGCCTAGCCATGGTCTCCTTTATACTGATAATGCCTCTCCAGTCGCCAGTTGCCAGCCATCACAACTAAGGTGCGCCGCCTCCCCATACTGGACAGAAAACGTAAAGGATGTGAACGAAGTGATTAAGCCTTTCTCGTGCGCTCTTTCATTCTTGGTGCTATTTTTGGCATGTGAAGTGATAGCTTTGGGTAGCATTTAGGCTTTTTTACTACGCTTTTTGCTTAGTTTTATGCCTACTCCTAAAAGGAAATGCAGGGACTGTGATGTCCCAAGACCCCACGCAACACCCAGAACCATGAAATGTGACTAAAACCCATTTCGAAAAAAAAAAAACTGTGTTTCAAATTCTACCTTCTGCTACTCCAAAGTATACAGTATAGGTACCTTTTTGCTGCGGATATTAAGCCTTCCTTAAGCTCGTTTGAGTGAAGCCTCAGCATCCTGTTGAGGCTTCACTCAAAGCCGGCCAGATTTGTTCGGGCCTCCCTGACGTCAAAGCTTGATCAAACCCTATACCCGTCCACGGCATCGTTGGGTGATGTTTGAGTGGCTTACCTCCCGGCTCTCCTTTTCGCCGCTAAATTTTCCCCGCTAAAACTAGCGGGGAAAGTTCCCCACTAAATTTAGCAGAAATTTTTCCCCCTAAATTTAGCGGAAGAAGTTCCCCGCTAAATTTAACGGTAAAAATTTCCCGATCTAGCGGAAAAATTTCCCCGCCTTATTTAGCGGGAAACTTTTCCCCGGAAAATTTAGCGGGAAAAATTCCCCGCCAAATTTAGCGGAAAAAGTTCCCCGCTAAATCTAGCGGAAAAATTTCCCTACTAAATTTAGCGGGAAATTTTTTCCGCTAAATTTAACGGAAAATTTTCCTCTAAATGGGAGCCGAGCAGGAGAGGAGGAGGTGCATAGCCCCCTCTTCGTACCTTCCCCTCCTCCTCATCAAGAGCTGTGCTCTAATTCGGCGTTAAACGGCTTTCATTTTATTTTTCTGAAATTGTCGTGGCAATTACCGAACACGACATGCCGGTGCAATTTTCAGTGTACGTGCCCATGGCGTGTGCTTTGCTCGGTTTTCATGGCGATGAATCTGCGCCTGCGGGGATGGGAAGACATGAGAATAGACATTTTGCTAGACTATTTAAACATCAAGGCGAATGCTGGGAACGGGGGTACACAAGCTGCACGAGCTCGATTTAAATGTATAAAAGATTCGATTGAAATAACCAAAATAAGATACAAATCAACACGCCGTCAAAGTGCCACGGATTTGGGGTTTTAGCTTTTGAAGTGTTATTATGGAGTTTTAGAATAGGGGGGGCCCCGACTTTTGGGCTCCCCTGAGAAATTGGGGGGCCCAAACGCAACAGGGTTGGCGTCGACGGCATATAGACTAGGGGTTTCGCATCGCAGCGCAGCGCGCTCACGTTTACCGCTTGCAGCGTCAATGCGGCTAACAAGTGTAATAATCAAGAAAGAAAAATATTTAAAACAAATTGGGTTGTGTGTGTGTTTATACAGCCTAGAACTTGGTCTGCCTCACAGGGGCGACGAGTCTCCCAGCTGTAGATGAGAAATTTAGCCAGTGCGGTACAGCCGCTAGCCTGGGGTCTTTAACGTGCATCACGCAGTAGTGATACACGACCGCACGCCGGTACGATGCTCATCCAGATCGAAACGGGCAGGGGTGGGGCTCGAACCCAGGATCCCTGGGTTCTGCAGCGCGAGCTTTCGCTCCACGTGCTCCGAGCTGGTGTGCGCTAGACCACTCGGCCACCGATCCCCCTAAAAAAAAAAATATATATATTAAAGAAAACGTCAATTATGTGCGCTTAGCAAGCACGTTCTATTTACAAATAATAGGTAAAGTAGATCTCAATCAAGCCGGCTAAAACAAGAAACAATCTAAAATCACTATAAATGTTGTTGGCTCTATTCAGCCGAAACAATCCAATGCGTAGCGCTCTAATTTGGCGTTTGTTCTCGAATTTTTGGGGCGTTCGAGTGCGCTTTGACCGTCTGTCACCGAAGATTTAGGTCTTCAACTATGCCGAAAATGAGACGAACGCGGGCGAGCACACTGTGCTAGCAGCCGCTCTATTTAGATCTAAGCTGGAGCGACTTTGAAGTCTTGAAATACTTGTTGTCAAGCTGCAGGTATCGTGACACGAACGAAATCCACTCGGAGCCACGGAGTAGCAACACGTGTCCATGTCAACGGTTACT